TTATGTTCAAAGTCCTAGAGGGAATTGGACTAGAGGGAACATACCTCAACATAATTAAAGCCATATATAACAAACCCACAGCCAACATCATTCTAAATGGAGAAAAACTGGAAGCACTCCCATTGAAATCAGGAACCAGACAAGGCTGTCCACTATCCCCACTTCTTTTTAACATAGTGCTTGAAACTCTTGCAAGAGCAATAAGACAAGAGCAGGAAATTCAAGGAGTAATAATTGGAAGAAATCAAATTTCCCTTTTTGCAGATGAAATGATAGTAGAGGCGCCAAAAATTCCACCAGAAAACGCCTAGAAATTAACAAGTTCAGTAAAGTGGCTGGTTACAAAATTAACCTACAAAAGTCTGTAGCCTTTCTATATACCAATAACAAGCAATCAGAGAAAGAGCACATGGAAACACTCCCATTCACAATAGCTACCAAAAAAAAAAAAAAAATTACAGAAAAAAAAAGAACAAAAAAATTAAAAAAGTTTTACATAAACATTTTAAATTTTTAAAGAAAGAGATTGAGGAAGACATCAGAAGATGGAAGGACCTCCCATGCTCATGGATTGGAAGAATTAATATTATGAAAATGACTATCCTACCAAAAGTCATTTATAGAATCAGTGCAGTGCCAATCAAAATTCCCATGACATTTTTCACAGAATTGGAACAAACCATCCTAAGATTCATATGGAAGCACAAAAGACCTCGGATAGCCAAAACAACCCTGAGCACTAAGAGCAATGCTGGGGGGGGGGGGATTACTATACCAGATTTTAAGCTGTATTACAGAGCTATAGTCATAAAAACAACATGGTACTGGCACAAAAACAGACCCATAGACCAATGGAACAAAATTGAAGACCCAAATATGAATAAATGCAATTTCAGCCACCTGATATTTGACAAAGGGGCCAAGAATATTCACTGGAGGAAAGACAGCATGTTCAGCAAATGGTGTTGGCAAAACTGGATCTCCACTTGTCGAAGAATGAAACTAAAGCCCTATCTTTCACCCTGCACAAAAGTCAATTCCAAATGGAGCAAAGACCTCAATGTAAAGCTTGAAATTCAAACTTTTAGAAGAAAACATTGGGAAAAACCTACAAGATACAGGCATAGGAAAGGAT